TGTATCAAGCATCCCAATCAACGTATTAACCATCATCATTCCCATCGTCATCGCTGTCTCCGAAATCGCCTACATTGCTCTAGGATGGAAAATTTACAACGAGTTTGGTTGGAAGGTCTACAAATTTCTTGGGGCTGACCGCAGAATCAAGAAGATGTATGTCGTATATCAGATCTACGAATGTCTGGTCAAATTCGACGTATTCTTCTGGGTCGGTTTCTCCGTGCAGTTCATCTGGCTAGTCTTGACAGACACGGAGTGGGAATACTACGTGACATGCGCTGCTCTTCCTTTGTCTATCGTGCTTCTTGTAGAAGGACATCTTGCCGCTCGTTATGAGAACAAATGGATGATGGCTACCTTCATGTCAGGTTGCGTAGGGGCCATGATATATTTCATTTACAAGGTCAGCTCCTCTATTTTCACCGCGTTTGTTTCTGGACTGACGGTAATACAGTTGATCAAGGTACTATTATTCAAAGACACGGATCAATATAGACTCGTATGGAAGTCGTTGACAGTGTTCTGTAGGTTTTATGACCCTCCAACTGTTGTCGTTTTTTACTGATGTCTTGCTAGCTGTGATTGCCATTGCACTTCTTTTCCTTACTTTCGTCTATTCGGTGTTGGTACTACGGAACTTTGGACGTGGTCTGAAAGATGCTCGTAAGTAGCAAGAATCTTCATCCCAGTCGTCGTCTCACACCTTACTGCTTAGTTACCCGGAAAGCTAACCAAGGGGTTGGGGCACAAAACCATCAACGAGTGGCAAGCAGAAATCTCAATCGCATGAGCATTAACTGAAAGCACTTGTTCTTCATACGACTTTTCATGGACACATTGCAATTGTACTGATAGCCAACCCTTTGCCAAAATCTTCAACGAACACTTTCGTGCTTCCCCTTAAAGTAACCCTTGTCGCATCTATTCATTCTTTCCCGGCCCCCCTGTCAACCTTGCTGAGACAACTCCACCAAGCTATCTGATCGCTCATCCGCACTATTCATCAAATCGCCAATTCATACTTTATTTCTACATATTTGTCCCGGTTCTCATCCCTCTTTTTTGCTACTATGTCGCAACGTACACATATTTCCTGTCAGACCATTTGCACATGTAGTACTTCTGTAGACCCAGACGTACTCATAACATTTCTTTTCTCGATGCATGTGCTCGAGTTGAGTATACATTGTATAATTTAGACTCATTTAATGTGCTTTTTCACAAGGCCAAATACCATGAGTTTGATTTTGGGGAATAACTGCATTTGGTAACAGTGGTGGATGATGGAGCTGTGTAAACAGGCAACACTTTCGCTATTGACGACGTACGTGTCACTTTTGGGACACATCCTCAATCCCTTGTCGCCCAACAAATGCAAAATTGAAAGCTGCACCCAAGAGGAGTAGTTTACCCTTAGTTCTTTTCGTTCTTTATACTCTTTATTTACTCCATTTGACGGGCATACTTAATTCACGATGGCACAGAGGTAAGTGTCCCCACACACTTTGCTTGTCTGAAAATATCAAGTCTCAACTACGCACAACTCAGAATACGATCTGGACCTTCTCTGCGCGACCGCTCTGCATTGCTTGGAAATGCTCATACACCACCTGCGTCAGGTCGCTCCACGCCATTCGGTGGCAGCAGTTATAACCCGAATCTGAACGGCCACCGGTATGCCGATGACCTAGAGGGCCAGAATGACGAGGCTATTGAGGGATTGAGTGCAAAGGTGAAGCTATTGAAAGATGTGAGTGCATTACACCTGGTGTATATTCTTATTGTTGACTCATTCCGCCCTTCGTAGATCACCATTGGCATTGGGAATGAAGTTCGCGAGTCGACAATTCAGCTCAGCCAAATGGTACGCTGTCATGCCTTCAAGCTCTCATTTGACTTCTCTTACAAGTTGATATCCAGAACGATGCATTTGCAGAAACAGGAGGGATTCTGTCGGGTACATTTCGGCGCATGAATAATATGGCTCAACGACAAGGCTGCAGGTGGCTATGGTATATTGTGTTTCTCATCATCGTATTTTGGTTCTTCTTGATTGTATGGTGGTTTAGAAGATGACATTTAGTATCATGTATCTGTTATTGGGTTAGTTTTTGCTTTAATACATCCTTTGATTTCTTTTTGTCGAGTTGGATGACATATTACGGGAGCAAAAATGCGATGATTGTCCCCGTAATATTGCAACCAGTACGGGGACTGGGCGGGTGGAACGAAACAGAACTAGTACACAAAATATACAGCACGAGAAGCAAATCCCTTAAATACCGGGTAATAAAACAATGCGACTGAGAAATGTCCCAAAGTGCAACAAAAGCAAAACGAAAGGCGATAGCATGAATAAGAGTAAGCGACCATCATGAATAGCCATCACGTAGTTTAGCATGGCCAATTTCCCAAATCATGCGTCGGCGAAGATATGACATATCCTTCTGCGAAAACACGAATGTTTGATCACCCCGAGATACTGCTCTTAGAATTTGACAGGTGAAGACACCACAATCAAACCCATTTTCTTGTTGTGGTGTTGTCTTGAGAAAAGTATTAGTCAGGTCATGTCATGGTGCAGCTAAAAGTCGTACCTTCGGCGCCCAATTCACCCAACCTCCCCAATCAAAGGCCTTTTTCTTCTTGTTCATCGACTCTGCCTCTAGATATGCCCGTAGAACCTAAAATCATGTGAGCGGGTCTGTACAACTGAACATCAAGGGAAACAGACCTCAAAAACACCCTGGTCGAGGTAAGCCATGCTATCATAAGATTCCAAGCGCTTCTGACGGAAATTTATTGCAGCCGCGGTCCAATGGGTGTTGTTGTGATTGACAGGGACCAAGATTACATCCTTTGCAAAGATATCAATCTGTTGGACCTCGGTTATGATTTGCTAAAAAGAAGAGGTGAAAAATTGTTTACCTTCTTGGTCCATTTTGCCAATCTTCCCTTTTCGTAGCCTTCATTCACCAGTTTTGACCAGAAGAATGTGCTGAAGTAGTGTACATCCAAACCCTTTCCACCTTTTGCCTTTTGCTCCTTCAACAAGCCTTCTGCGCGATCCAAAATGAGTGCACCATAAAAGTTGATGAGCTCGTCATTCAGCCATTGACCAGGGCCGAGACGACGAATATCTGTATCAGAAACCTGCTCCCTCGCGAACTTGGAAACGACGCCTCGCTTCTGAAGGAAGCTCTTGACTTTTTGCTCATCATCTGATGGCAAAGTAGAAGGTAACGATGGCACAGCCAAGCGATTCTCCAGTTCTTTATCTTTCTTTCTGCGGCGTACCTCCAGTTCTTCGAGGGCAGGCACATAAGGCTTGATAGGTCTTGGACTGTTGAGCGTGGATTTGGCACGCTCAAGTGCCCGGTGAAGAAACTGCTGCCAGAGAAAACTTATGAGAAATGTGTCTACATAATAAAATAAAAAGAGGTGCTAACCTCTTCTTCTTCTTCCTCGTCCAAGAGACGTTTAGCCTCTGGTGGAGCAAAGGGGACCATAAGACCATTGGAAGGAGGGAGAGTCCCCAGCAAGCGCGAATAGCGTTGTCCACGCTTGATGTTTCGTATCAGTCTTTCATAACTGAGTAGACCTGCGACGCCAAGTTAGCCCGCAGTAAACTGAAGAAAACAGTGCTTCTGACCACTCAGATCTTGCTCCGACCCAGTGAACCCTACTCGATCATTTGTGCGTTAAGATCATCGACACGCACGGAAAATGGAGGTGCATACCTTGCTCTGACCGAATGGCATGAATTTGTTTGACCACTTCGTCACGAAGTTTTTGTCTTTCAGCCTTAACGGCGGCCTTGTGCTAAAGGTTCTCTCCATGAGCAGAGTATACTAAAAGAAGATGGTCACATACACGCTTATGATGAATATGATGAGGGCGCGAACGGGGATCTTTTCGAGGAGTGGATCCGCGCTTTCGTTGGCCAGATTCAGCAGTTAATGGGCGTGCTTGTTGTGTTGATGGGGAAGATGCGGTGGTTTGTGATGATTGTACAGATGCAAAAGAAAAGTTGGTAATAGATGACTGTTGAGAAACAGGCTGAGACGAAGTGGGAAGTGGGGTAGATGAAGTTGGAACAGCTACATCCGGGGAATGAGACGAGGGTTGGTGGTTAGAGGGAGGTGTAAATGCGAGGCTTTCCAGCTGCAAAGATATATCTTCAGCTGCATGATTACCCTTGGGGGTAGACTGTTGTGGTGGATCTTTCGATCTAATTTGCCTTGAGGTAGATAATGAGGAGTTTATTACGGTCTCTAGCGCATTGTTTGGCAGTGGTGAAGGTGAGCGACTAGGGGATGATGGATATTCTTGAACTGGAGATTCCGGTTCAATAGATGGTGATGGTGATGAGCTAAAGGGCATGGTGACAACTAATAGGATGTCAGCATAGGGGTTCTATCATGTAGAAACGAACAAACCATATAAAAAGGTGTCCCTTCCAAGATAAAAAAGATCTTTTCCAACCTGGATCCACCTCAGGGGTATTGATTCTGACGGGCTGGTCGGTGTGCCGTCTGGTCTAACTTTCTGTAGCCGTGGTTGTTTGACGTGGTGAGCAGGCTGCAAGGCGCTTGAAGCTTGACGTTTCCGCGAAGGCATGAAGAAGCGGAAGGAGCCAAGAGATGAAATACGAAATCAGAGAAAGTGTTGCTTTGAGAGTCAAAGCGAGCGTTTAATACGCCTTTGACTATTAACGCGAGTGATTTCGGTGTAAATATGATAAGACGCGTGGTTATACTTTCAGTTGGACCTACAAGTCTCCTGAAAATATCAAGCACGGTGGTGGCAAGTGTGAAGGTATGGATGTCACACCTTGTCACACTGTAATTCCTATTTTGTAAGAAAGTCTCCCACGCTTGCTAGAACTTCCATCAAAAACGACACCCCTCCCCTAAGTACCTGTACAAGTACCAACAATATTCAAAGCTTTTGGCAGCGAGTAGGACTATGATCCAACATAATCCTCACTGTTGTAAGCTCCCTTGGCTCAGCTGGTTAGAGGGCAGGTCTCACACTCGTATGAGTAGTCAATTGATTACGTAATCCTGATATCGCCTGTTCGAGCCAGGCAGGGAGCACTCAGCACTGTTTTGGATTCCCCGGCGCGCCGGGAAGATGTCACGGTCGCTTGGGTTTTGTTTTGGCAATTCACGCTGTATCTTGTCGCTCCAATGTTTCCTCACTCACGTCGCGCTCAAAACCTGGATTTTGTTTTGGTAATTCAAGTTGCGTGTTGTCGCTTCGCTCCCACACACACATGATTTGCGCGCTCGACCAAGTCGCAAGTTCGAGCCTCGAAACGTAACTTAAAAGACTCTTGACTTTAGTCAAACCTTTTCGAAGACATAGGCAACGATGGGACAACAATTCATAATTTTAAGTTCCGTGTAGCATTATACGGCAAATGTACATTGGATCTGGAACCTCTCTGGATTTCTGGCCAAAAAATTCAAAAATTATTCATTCAGGAAGGGGGAATACAGGTGGATACTGGCTTATTGCAGATAATCTCCTATAATCTCCCAAAATCTGGGTTGGCTTCCATTCAGAGACAGCATCAGAATTCGGAGAAACCAATCTATTCAACGCCATGTTTGCTGCACAGAGCTATTTTGGAGAGAGCTCGTTGAAAAAATTTGCATCAAAGAATGTCAGATGTACCCAAATTGACGCGGGTCGAATCACTACCAGGTGATTCGATACAGTCAATAGCTGTATCATTGCAAGATGTTGTAACTGTGGTGTTAGAAGAGGCGAGAGTCTGATTCGGAGTTAGTGCGCGCCACCTCGACCCTGAGATCACACTGTCTTGCGAAATAATTATCTACAAATGACATAGTCGCTTCACACCAGAATAATAATACTTATTGACATAGAATGACAAGCTATTCGATAGTACTTCGTAGAATACTTATGATCTCTCTGACATGCAGGATCCGAATGGCAAATAAGAAATAAAAGTCAGGATCGATATGATGGATTTAACTGATAAGCATGGGCTGGGTGCGGAAAAGAGGACACAATAGGACGTTGAATGGGTGTTTTCAAGACGTGTGACGGTGCGGAAGAGCTCATTTATGGAAACTGGGTCTAATTATCCTCCTGACTCCGAACATCATTGCTATAAATCCGTTTGCTCTTCTCCCCTCATCCTCTCACACCACTTTTACCCTCTACCCCATTCATCTCATCCTTCAAGTCTTATAAGACTCCTTCCAGTCAGTTCTTTTAAACTTTAGTTCTTCTTCTACCACCACCACCACCACCACCACCACCACAAGATCACTCGAACAATGGGCATGAGCTATCGTCGTTACCTCTCTGGCGAACGTATCTACGGATGTTCGACCTGTAAGACTCACCTCGCTACTATTCACTCAATGATGTCTCGAGTAAGTGCTCTCTTGCTCCACCCAATGTTGTGGCTGGCACTGACATGGTCCGAAACAGGCTTTCAACGGACAGCATGGTAGAGCTTACCTCTTCGATGGCGTGTAAGTCGCCTTGCTTCTTCATGTCTGAATGTCCTTTTGTTCATCACCATTCCAGTGTCAATGTCATCGAAGGTGAGCCTGAGGACCGTCCAATGACCACTGGTACCCACACAGTCCGAGACATCTACTGTTGCAAATGCAGCACCACTTTGGGCTGGAAATACGTAAGAATCGTTTCCCCCCCCTATCATCGGAGGCGATAACTAATACAGACTGCTGTCATTACAAAGGATAAAGCCTTTGAGGAATCGCAAAAGTACAAGGAAGGCAAATATATTCTAGAAAGAAATCTACTCGTCGACGTGCAGTAGATGTGCAAGGGTGTCCCATGACTCGAGTTCATGTCCTTGGCAACTGTATACCGTCTTCCCTCTGTTCCCAAAGACTAGAACCGGGATCCCACTCTTCAGTTATCAACTCAACTCACCCGATATCGGCAGGCCGCTCTTACTCTCCCGACCACTGATTTAGGATCTTTATATTCATCCTCTTTCCGCGGATATTATTCAACCAACAACATCAAATCACAATTGTAACAGTAGCCAACACAAGCCTGCAGAAGGACAGGTCGACAAGGCCGCCCTATCCTACAAGGAGGCCTTGTCGCGCGCCTCTTGTGCAGGGCGGCGGAATTAACTCACGGAACTCCCTGTCGACTCAGTCTTTCTCATCGACTGCCGGTCTTCATCTTCACTGATTAAACACTGTCAATTTCTTGCTGTTTTACCGACAAATCGGCAACAGCTTATCCTTCTCCTTGTCATCTTTTTGCGGATGGCTCTCAGGATCCTTCGCTCATACCAAATGTACATACACTCCACATACACTATTTCCACGCAGGTCACTGCGCACTGCATGATTCGTCTTTTCGGAAATCTTGTGTTGGTGTCTTGTTCCTTCTTCCCATCTCCATAACTTAACCCTACTCCTCCCCTTGTTTCATTCTCCATTCACCTTTCCGTCTGAGTTCATTCCCATGTCGCTCAGGGTTTATCGAGTTGCCTAGAATGCCCCGTACTCTTTCCCTCTTCCTTGTTCTCGAACATTTCAGAAACATTTCTTGTTATCTGTTTATCTACACAGCTCTTTTATTAGGTTCAGTGCAAATTGATATGGTCTCACTTGTTCAAAGCACGCCTTTGCTCTCCTTTCAGTCAGCAATCTCCTTTTCCTCGTGTGTCCCTCGTTGATAACATGTTTAGCAACTAGACTAAGACACACCAATCGGTGAGTTAGACCATGGTGTCTCGTGCGAAGGGACCGCCCACCAAGTGCGTGTCACCCATTCAGGATGAAGCACCCTTGCAACGCTTAGGCCGAACGCAAGAGGACGGGTATCAGATGCGATTTAACTTGGTCAATCATGTTATTATGTGCCAAGCCCTGAAGCGTTATTAATAGAAAGGCTCATTTTCATTCAGGAGAGCCAGAGAGCTGTGTACCGCGTAATAATCGGTGTCACTGGATACGACCTATTCATAGGTTCCATACAAACCCTATTCGAGGACATCGCCGTTCAGTCGGAGTGAGCAAAAAAGTAAGAGGCATGGGCAAGTAGCGAGCAGAGGAAGAGAGAACCACCAAGGGGCTCTCATCATTTCGGTGGCGGGTATAGGAGGGCGCCATGCATACCGCACCATAAGCAACCCGAATGCTTGGCGTGAATGAATGGTGGCACAACAGTCACGCAGAATTATCGAGTGACGATGGTTGCAAGTGAATGCCGCGGCCGATTTGAACACAGTGTCGCAAATTTCGCACAGCCGTTACAGCGCGTCACGACGGCTTGTAACAGCGTCCAACACCGGGAGCACAAATTGCCAGTTGTAACGCATCCGAACAGGGTGTTCTAGTGTGCTAACGGTGCCGGTAACGGTCGAAAACGGTCACCAACAAACGGCCGGGTGTCATTTCAACCCGAAATGGCAAACAGCGGGCCGTTACAATGGCATTCAACGGCGCTGTCCGTTACAACGCCGATGGGAAATCTGCGACAACGTCAGTACACGGTGTCCTAGACGTAAATTTATATCTCATAAAAATACATCACCTAAGTCCATATGTCGCCGTAAACGAAGATCGCAGCTATAATTGCCGTAGCCCCGTATAGTTCCCCAAAAATCGATTCGCGTCCGAGCATGAGGAGTGGTTGTCCTTGGAGTCAAGGAGGACCAGAGTGCCATCACGAAAAGCAAAGACGTTGGGGAATGCGTATACATGGACCAAGAGGTCACTGGTTCAATCTAACAGAAGGTTCACTTCGATGTAGCTCCACGATTGACTCCAGTCCAAATGTCCCCATTCTGCAACCTAAATGCAGAGTTCATGGCTCTACAGGAGATGGTCGGAGTTCCGCGTATGAGTAGCGCAGGTCAAGCTGAATGGTACCAAGGTCATAAACCCGGTGTCGTACTAGATAGTCGTGTGGTGGACTACCGAATAGTTACCGACAGGAATAATAGACGATTAGTGACTGACGAGCTTCTAGCAGGGTTGAACAAGCCGAAGGGATATTCGGGTTGTGTCGGTTTTCGCAGGCATGCATAGCCAATGGCCCACGGCGCAGTTCTTGATGGTGCACCACGCAGCCAGTACATGTCGAACGAAGAATGAAGTTGGAAAAGAAAGACATCTTGATTCGAGAGGTTAATAACGGATGTTGATAATTGAACAAGATGAAATAAAAACGAGATCTACATCAATCCAAGTAAAGTGGTATGTACTTGGAAGAGGTTTAGAAGATGGGTGAAAGGACAGCTGGAATGTAAACAAGTTTGAGTCCGACTCGGGTGCGCAGTGATCGTCCCAGAAAGGTACAGAAGGCGCAGATAAACAAGAAGGAAAATCTAAGTTTATCTGCGAAACTGCTATGATGCAGTTTGAATGCGGTTTCCGGCGTACGCGTAGTCGTTCAGGAGCAGTGAGCAAAGCCAAGGAACCGTAAAAGGCGCAGAAGTTGAGAAGTATTAGTCAAAAGAAACATGATAGTTTAAAGATGGTATGAAAATCAGGCCGTGCTCCGTCAGTAGAGAATAAAATTACAGAAGGAGGGATTTCGTGCTCCGGTTGAATAATGATTAGCTAGGAGAGAGCAAGCTCTTTGTTCATAGAGTATGACAATGAGCGGGAGATAACGGAGCGTGTGGAGGCGATAAGATAGAAGCAAGCAAGAAGAGACGCGTCGAACAACAAAATAAAGTTCGTGACAAGGCGCGCAAAGTTTGTGAGGATGCATGTGTTGTCAAAGTGGCATTGTTGTCGGTCATTTGAGACGGGTAATGAGTGGCATGGGATTGAAGCCAAGCTAGTGGTGAAGAAAGAATGAGACATTCCACGTGAAGTGAAGATAGTTGATTTCTGTTGCCAGTGCTATCCTTAGCTAGGTTTACCCGAATTGGCCCTTCAAAATTGGGTCTCACGCTGTCGCCGAGTAAGAAACAGAAAAAAAGCTGTATACTCTTTTTTTATTCATTTCTTTTCCAAGTCAAGAGCAGAGACCGATGGTCGAGAGCAGAGCTAGATTATAATTTTATAGATAGTGAGAATATTGAGAGTAGAGGTGGAGCAGTCGAAGAGGGGACAAA